GATCTCAACTGGAAGGTAAATCTAAACAGTGTTATCATTGATATCTATAACCAATTAAACTTTCAATATATTACCATTGCCAAAGCCACTATTTAATCATTATTTTATTTATTTATTTATTTTTATTTATTATTGCTATTTATAAAGCGCACACAGATTCCGCAGCGCTGTACAATTAGTTGAGAAACGTACAATATACACAAACAAATACAAGAGGTAAGAGAGCCCTGCCCGTAAGCTGATATCTAGCCATTGGAGCTCTTTTATACAAAGTGCTTATCTAGATGGCCCATGAGCTTACAATCTAAAGAATACCAGGGGGATTTGAGACAAGAGGTAGCAGGGGAAGTTTGGAGGTGATGGCTGAAAGAGTTAACAGAGAAGCAGCTATTGTTAAGATGTTAAGGGAATGAAGAGGTAATTGGGTGAGAATCTCAAACTGCTGGAGGAGCATGCTATATATTTAAGGGGAGCCTGGGTGGGTAGGAGGAGGGGAGGGTGGGTGGGAAGTGGGGAGAAACAATGCAGTCTTCACTGAGTTGATTGTGAAGTGTGGCCTGAGGAATAGAGATAGAACAGTCAGTGGCGTACATACCAGGGTCTCAGGGGTCGCGGCTGCGACCGGGCCCGGCCCACCAGGGGGCCCGGCCGCCCCTGCGACCCGGTATGTAGCCACAGGGCCAGCCTCTTCCCCTGGGGGGCCCAGGAGGCGGCCACCCCAGGGCCCCCCGAGGCTGGCCCTGCTGTCACCCGGCAGGCGGGTGGCCGGTCGGGCAGGCGGGCGCGCGAGGGAGCACTCAATGCTTCCTCTTCAGCTCCCTCGCGCACCGCACTGATACCGGAGCCGGAAGATGACGTCATCTTCCGGCTCCGGCATCCCTACGCGGCGCACAAGGGAGCTGAAGAGGAAGCATTGAGTGCTCCCTCGCGCGCCCGCCTGCCCGACCGGCCACCTGCCCAGGAGCCCAGCAGCACCACTGGACCCCAGGGAATCCCCCAGCACTCCAAAAGGTAAGGAGGCTGGGGGGATTAAATTTCAAAACAAAAAAGTTAGTGTTAGTGTGAGTGTTAGTGTGAGTGTTAGAGTGAGTGTTAGTGTGTGTGTCTGCTAGTGAGCGTTAGTGTGTGTGTCAGTGTTAGTGTGAGTGTTAGTGTGTGTGTCTGCTAGTGTTAGTGTGTGTTAGTGTGTGTGAGTGTTAGTGTGAGTGTTAGAGTGAGTGTGAGTGTTAGTGTGTGTGTCTGCTAGTGAGTGTCAGTGAGTGTGTTACTGTGTGTGTCTTACTGAGTGTGTGTGTTAGTGAGTCTGTTTGATGTCTGTTAATGAGTGTGTGTTTGTCAATGAGAGTGTATGTTTTGTAAGTGAGTGTGTATGTATGTCTGTCGCTGACTGTGTCTCTGTCAGTAAATGTGTGTGTCTGTTAGCTAGTGTGTATGCGTCTGTGTGAGAGTGTGTGTGTCTTCAGCACTTACCTTTCTCCAGCGCCGGACTCCCTTGGCGCTGGGGATCCCTCAGCCTCTCAGCTCCGAATGCGACCGCGCACGCATTCAAACCGCCCATAGGAAAGCATTACTCAATGCTTTCCTATGGACGTTCAGTGACGTTCAGTGTGCTCCTCTAGCGGCTGTCAGTGAGACAGCCACTAGAGGCTGGATTAACCCTCAGTGAAACATAGCAGTTTCTCTGAAACTGCTATGTTTTCAGCTGCAGGGTTAAAACTAGAGGGACCTGACACCCAGACAACTTCATTGAGCTGATGTGATCTGGGTGTCTGTAGTGGTCCTTTAAAGGACCACTATAGTGCCAGGAAAACATACTCGTTTTCCTGGCACTATAGTGCCCTGAGGGTGCCCCCACCCTCAGGGGCCCCCTCCCGCCCAGCTCTGGAAAGGGGAAAAGGGGTAAAACTTACCTTTTCCAGCCTGGGCGGAGAGCTCTCCTCCTCCCATCCTCCTTCTCCCCTGTCGGCTGTAGGCGCGCGCTAGAGCTGCGCGCGATTCAGCCGGTCACATAGGAAAGCATTCATATGCTTTCCTATGGACGCTGGCGGCTCTCACTGTGAAAATCACAGTGAGAAGCACGCAAGCGCCTCTAGCGGCTGTCAATGAGACAGCCACTAGAGGAATAGGGGAAGGCTTAACCCATTCATAAACATAGCAGTTTCTCTGAAACTGCTATGTTTATGAAAAATAACTTAACCCTAGCTGGACCTGGCACCCAGACCACTTCATTAAGCTGAAGTGGTCTGGGTGCCTAGAGTGGTCCTTTAAGTGTGTGTGCATCTGCATGCACTGGCGTACACACCGCGGTCACAGCCCTGTAACCCCTGCGACCAGGTGCCCACCGCCATGTGTTGCGGCCCGGCCCTCGGGAATCAATTTTCGCACCAGGGCCCCATGGGTCATGTGTAAGCCACTGAGAACAGTCATATGAAGGTATTTACGACTGGGGAGGGGAAAAGGAGAGTGTGAGAGGGGGAGGGAGGGGCAGAGTAGGCATGTGTTATAAACTATTGAAAAGTTTAGCAACCAAATTCTATCACCCAAAATATTAATAACTGTCTACATGAAATATTGGTCACAAACATTAAATGACAGTGGTACACACTGCATGCACATAACATTACAGTGGCAAACTACAGGTATCAATTGTAACAACTCTATAGTAACACATGAGAATTTTGTAGCAATCCAGTAATACGGGAGGTGGAGTATCTTCCAAGCTTCAGTCAGTACCTGAGAGTGATGGGTGTTTCTGCAGGATGGTAAATGCAGTCTTCACTGAGTTGATTGTGAAGTGAGGCCTGAGAGTGATGGGTGTTTCTGCAGGATGGTAAATGCAGTCTTCACTGAGTTGATTGTGAAGTGAGGCCTGAGAGTGATGGGTGTTTCTGCAGGATGGTAAATGCAGTCTTCACTGAGTTGATTGTGAAGTGAGGCCTGAGAGTGATGGGTGTTACTGCAGGATGGTAAATGCAGTCTTCACTGAGTTGATTGTGAAGTGAGGCCTGAGAGTGATGGGCCATTTATCATTTTTCTCCTTCAAAATGTATTCATCACAAAGTAGATCATAATTATAAAAATTAATAATAAAAAAAATTAATAAAAAATAATAAATATAGTGTTAAACAACAGTAATATCCCAATTCATTATGGCCCTCATAATAAAGATCATTATAAAAATATTGTGCAAAGTGCATATATAGACAATTGCTATTAGAATCAACCGTGTATCAAGTTTCTGGATAATACATGATAACCATTAATATGTGCAAAAAATGTTAAGAATAATCTCATATCGTAATTATTAACATCATTGTAATAGTGTTTTAAATATACTGTACATGAATATACTATTAAGAAATTCTTATTACAGTAGATATAATTGTAATTAAAAAGTGATCAATCCCCCTCAGCCTGAAAGGCTGTCACAAGGGATTCATTGTTCCATACTACTTTTGATGCTAGGGTTCGGAATTTTATGGCAAAATCAGCCACAGACATTGATCCCTGTTTAATCCTCATTAATCTTCATCAAGGATTTACCTGCAGAACTGGCATGTCGAAAGTCCTCTTGAACGCCGAGAGGAACTCAGCATAGGTGTGAGCAATAGAGGAACTGGATTCCCAAATAGGATTAGCCCATGCCAATGCTCTATCCGACAGGTGGTTGATCAGAAAAACTATTTTAGATCTGTCCTTGGGATAAGAACGTGGGCTCATAACCAAATGGATGCCTATTTGGTTAAGAAACCCACGGCACAACATGGGATCCCCACTGTAGCGTTGTGGGGGTGTCATGTGGACAGTATGTGCTGGTACTCCAGAAACTGGTTCTGGAACAGTAACTGTAGGAGTAGCAACATTGTCTTGTGCGTCAGGCAGCAGTACGCACCAAGATAGTCTGCAAGGCCTGGGCGAATTGATCCAAGTGGTGATCAATTCCATTCATTCTTGCACCACAAATGGCCAATTGCTGTGACACGTCTGTAGGTTCCATGTGGGCCCTGTTGTAATGTCAGGAATTCTGGAACATGAACACACAGACAGAATCAACGAAAATCTGTATACCGGTCCTTAGAATGGCCGGTGTAACGGCACCCCCAGGCATAAAATGGGTTAAACCGCCGTTTAGAATATCTTCCCCTGCCAGATACACAGGCAGCTACCAAAGACACCAATCCGCCGAACAGGAAACCATATGAATGCCGTAAACAGCCGAACTGGAAAAACCATACGAATAGGTTTACACTCCTAGCAGTCAATCTGGAACAGCATACAATAAATCCCCCCAAGAACGAGACAAGGCTCCGTTTTGAGGGTCAAGCAGGAACAGACAGAGCTGTGGGTTAATTGTTTTTATATACACATTAGTACCACCCACAGGGGTTTGGAAAACAACCAATAAACACATACAATACACTCAGACACTCCCACACAAAATCCTCCCCTCTGCCTGTGATACAATTACCTTACACAATGGGTAATGTAATTATCACAGGCAGAGAAATACAGTTTTTCCACATTATTTATAACTTTAAAAGTATGCATCACATTCACGTAAAACATTTTCAGAATCAGCATATTCCACATACAAACATACGTCAAAATCATACAAATTGGTCCAGTGGTTCAAAAGATAGATCGTAGTCCTTTGTGACCAAATGAAGCATGGCTTTTCTGCCCAAAACCAGTTCCACAGAGTCTTCTATCCTGGAGATAATTGGGAAGTAATCCAATTATCTCCAAGGACAGAGGCAAAACTCCATTGAACACTTGGCAGCAAAAGACAATAAAATACATAAAAACATATAACTGTGCAGCCATTGCATAAAACAGGTACATTCAACATATCCCCAGATAGCTCAGTTCTGAGCGCACATTATTACTGAATGGCGCCCAGATCACACACATACAGTTCAATTGCCATGGAGCCAAAGTCTTTCCCATAGTCTTTCATTATACGAATGGGCTCCATGGCATAGCTATCTGGGGTATCACCGCTCAAACAGGGCAAGCACCAAATGACTCGGCTTTCGTGTCTTTGCAGGGCAAAATCAAGTGTTTCAACATGGGGCCATAGTCTAAAGGCAGCAGGCGGGCAACCAGGCTCCTCCAATAAACAGTGGCGAGATTGGTCTCGTCACAGCCGGGTTAACGAATACACAGTCAGTATAACAAGCCGAGGTCAAAAGGAGTGGAGAAGACAGGGAAAACGATTAAGCATTACAGAAGACAGTATAAACTTAAGACAAGAGCCAGATAATGTTACCAGATTATCACAAGAGGAACACGCTATTGGGCTTCCAAAAACCACAGAACAACAAGGAATGGTAACTATAAATAGGCATCACTTACTTCTGATTGGTACAATTCCGCTTGGAATTGACCACTATTCAGGGAAGGTACTCGACCTTCCTGATCTGACGTCATTTTCGGACTACAGAGTTCTGCGTTCGGTGAGCGCTGAATTCAGTAGTTTGTTCGGGCACATACGTATACACGCTGCATGCAAGCATGCAGTGTCCGACTGAATGGCGGAGGGGATCGCGGCACTCAGAGCAAAGCCAGAAGGTAAGCAGACAGGAAACCTGACACTTACGTACCAGAAATTACATTACGTGAACATAGCTGAACATCGCTGAAAACACCCACTGAATCACCAATGAGACTCGAGCATGGCCATATATAAAGAGGTGGAGAGGGAGTCTTG